GAATGGAGGAAAATATTTGTAGATCATATTTGACAAAAATCTAGTATCCAGAATATATAAAGAGCTATTACAACTTAATAATAAAATTGATATATTTAGGGGAAATTTGAACACTAATATTAAGGAAGTAATATTTTTTAGGTGAGATAGAAGTATTGCAGTTATGTTTTGTTTTGTATGTACTCTTCTAACTTTTGTGTGTGTTTGGAAATGTCCATATTAGAAAAGAATCAAATCTAACAGTATCAACTCAGCAGTACTATGGCAGGGTTAACAGGCCCACCTACTGAGCCAGTTTAACGTATACCAGGGAAGTGACGTTACAGATTCACTGCAAAGAGCTTGGGTTTTACAGTCAGACTCTGTCACTTCCATGCACTGGAACCCTGCACAAATCCCTTGTCAGCATCTGTTTTTGCACCTGTGAAACCGTGATGTTACTTCCTTGTGTCGCTTTGTGAAGAATAGGTGAGATAATGTATATAAAATGTCTCGCACATAGTTGATGCACTAGAAATGTTAATAACCCTGTGGGAGAAAACAGGGTTTGTTTTTTGTTTTGTTTTTTGGGTTTTTTTTCTTTTTTTAAATAGAGATGGAGTCTCCCTGTGTTGCCCAGACTGGTGTTGAACTTCTGGGCTCAAGCCATCTTTCTGTTTCAGCTTCCCAAAAACTGAGATTACAGGCTTGAGCTACCACGCCAATTTTTTGTTTCTTGTTTTTACTAAGTTTCAGGGTAGAAGGAAATGAAGGTCACTGTTTCAGATGAATGGGAAAAGGTCCTTAGAAGTTGTGTGGGAGTTTGGCATTTCCTTTTAACTACTGAGCCTCTCTGTTTATGTTTTCATTCCTTTGTCTTTGCTTATAAAGGCCACTGGTGGGAAGTTTAGTTCTAGGGTCATCTGCTTTAAGAGAAAAAACTTTCCAGCTATGCAACAAAGCAGGACCCCTTACCTCTACAAAAATTTTAAAATTAGCCTAGTGTGGTGGTGCACGCCTGTGGCCCCACCTATAGAGGAGGCTGAGGCAAGAGGATCACTTGAGGCCAGAAGTTTGAGAACAGCTTGGGAAACAGTGAGACCCCATCTGTAGAAAAAAATTTAAAAAGTAGTAGGCATGGTGGTGTGCGCCTGTAGTCCTAGCCACTTGAGAGACTGAGGGCAAGAAGCTTGCTCGAGCCCAGCAGGTCGAGGCTGCAGTGAGCCATGTTCATGCCACTGTACTCCAGCTCGGTGACAGAGCCAGACCTTGTCTCAAAAGAGACAAACTTCTGTTTTGCATCTGAGGAAATCAGTGCAGTTACAAAAGCATGTTTCCTTCCTATGTTGATATGTAGGATTTAATAACTTAAATAGGACTAAAAGATATTTAACTAAAATGAGTGACTTGGATTTTTTTTTTCCCCCAGGTTTTAACCTTTTGTATTCTTTTTCTTAGAAGCAAGAAAATATGTTCCACACCCATGATTACGTGATTGTATACCCAGGCCTTTTTATCTGTGTGTATAATAATAAAACTGGTGTTAAAATATAGTATGTATTTGCCGGGTACAGTGGCTCACGCCTGTAATCCCAACACTTTGGGAGGCCGAGGCGGGTGGATCACAAGGTCAGAAGTTCAAGACCAGCCTAGCCAACATGGTGAAACCTGTCTCTACTAAAAACACAAAAAGTTAGCCGGGCATGGTGGCAGGCACCTGTAGTCCCAGCTACTCGGGAAGCTGAGGCAGGAGAATTGCTTGAACCCAGGAGGTGGAGGTTGCAGTGAGCCAAGACTGTGCCACTGCACTCCAGCCTGGGCGACAGAGAGAGACCCCATCTCAAATAAATAAATAAATAAATAAATAAATATATATGTGTGTGTATGTGTATATATATAATGTATTGATAGTGTGTGTCTGTGAGTCAGAGTACAAAAGTTATAAAACACAGGATTCTTAATAAGAAAACCAAGGAAGTGACTGTATTCTTAATTTTAAATTTAATATTTTTTTTTGAATAGGTATTGTTTATATACATTGCAGAAGTCAAAACACTATTTAAAAAGTGTCATATATTGAGACGTCTTACTCCCATGCAGATCTTTATCTTTCTCTTCTCTCAAAACCCACCTTTCATAGGTCACTACTCTTACAAGTCTTTCTGTATACCCTTCCAGTGTTTCTTTTTGGAAATACAAGCAAGAAGGACTATATTTATTCTTATCTTACGACCTCCATCCCCTAGCTCAAAAGATGGCATTCTAGACATACTATTCTGCAGTTTGTTTTACTTCACAGTATAACTTAAGGATCTTTCCATCTCATTCTCCTGTATGTGGGTACTTGGCCATACTAGTCTCTTATGTATGGATACATGGCTTGTTTCCAGTCTTCTGCTGTTACAAATAATGATGCAGTCGGCCAGGCACGGTGGCTCATGCCTGTAATGCCAGCACTTTGGGAGGCTGAGGCGGGTGGATCATGAGATCAGGAGATCAAGACCATCCTGGCTAACACAGTGAAACCCCATCTCTACTAAAAATACAAAAAATTAGCTAGGCGTAGTGGCACGCACCTGTAGTCCAAGTTACTCGGGAGGATGAAGCAGGAGAATCACTTGAACCGGAGGGGCAGAGGTTGCCGTGAGACGAAATTGCGCCATTGCCCTCCAGGCTGGGCGACAGAGCGAGACTCCATTTCAAAAAAAAAAAAAAAAAAAGATGCAGTGATAACCTTGTATGTGTCATTTCATTTGTTTGAAATTGTATTTGTAGGATACATGCGACTGCTAGATCATAGGGCAAATGGATTTGTGATTTGGGTAGATATGAAAAGAGCGCCATATTTTTTATAACAAATCTAAAAAAGTATCTGGCCTTCAATCGTAGTTGACTCTTTTTTTTTTTTTTTTTTGAGACGGAGTTTTGCTCTTGTCGCTCAGGCTGGAGCACAATGGCGCGATCTCGGCTCACTGCAACCTCTGCCTCTCTCATTCAAGTAATTCTCCTGCCTCAGCCTCCCAAGTAGCTGGGACTACAGGCACGCACCACCACGGCCAGCTAATTTTTGTGTTTTTAGTGGAGACGGGGTTTTACCATGTTAGCCAGGATGGTCTCGATCTCTTGACCTTGTGATCCGCCTGCCTTGGACTCCCAGAGTGCTGGGATTACAGGCGTGAGCCACCACGCCTGGCCCAGACACACTTATAACTGACACACCTAGAATAACAAATCCACTGCTGCAATAATGACATTAATCAATTCATGGAGGCACGGCCCTCGTGACCTAATCATCTCTTACTAGGCCTCACCTCCCAACACAGTTCCATTGGGGTTAAGTTTCCAACACATGAACTTTAGGGGACCAGTTCAAACCCTAGCAAATGGCATTTCACAGACAGGCTAGATAGAGATCAGATATTTATTACATCACATTACATAGTTACTTTCCCATTTCGAATTCCCTCCGTCCCAAGGGCCACTTTTTGTTTTTAGTTGTAAAGCCAGCTTCCCACCTGAAGTTGGTGCTATAGTTCCTCATTAGTACTCAGGGATATTTACATGTGTTCAAAATGAATCTGAAAAGCAGTTATTTAAGTAAACCATATGTTAAGAAATAGGAGGTCTGGAAAAGTGGCTCATACCCATAATCCCAACACTTTGGGAGGCTGAGGTAGGAGGACCACTTGAGACCCCAGGAATTCAAGATCCGCCTGGGCAACATAGCCAGATCTCACATCTGCAAAACAAGACATGGAGATTCTGTTTAGAATTGATTGGTGTTTGATGTTTTTAACAGTTGCAAAATGCAAACTTTTAATTTAAAAAAATATATATTGTTTATGTTAACCTTTTGTATACTGGATATTCTTCAGAATAAACCTATGAACTGCTGATTTATGGCATGTAGAAGTTAAGTGGTTTTTCCTAAATTCATAAACAGCTGTACAAACACCTAGGATTAGAAAAGAAGATGCTGAGGCTGGGCGCGGTGGCTCACACCTGTAATCCCAGCACTCTGGGAGGCTGAGGTGGGTGGATCACGAGGTCAGGAGTTCAAGACCAACCTGGCCAAGATGGTGAAACCGTGTCTCTACTAAAAATACAAAAATTGGCCGGGTGCGGTGGCTCAAGCCTGTAATCCCAGCACTTTGGGAGGCCGAGACGGGCAGATCATGAGGTCAGGAGATCGAGACCATCCTGGCTAACACAGTGAAACCCTGTCTCTACTAAAAAATACAAAAAACTAGCCGAGCGAGGTGGCGGGCGCCTGTAGTCCCAGCTACTCGGGAGGCTGAGGCAGGAGAATGGCGGGAACCCAGGAGGCGGAGCTTGCAGTGAGCTGAGATCCGGCCACTGCACTCCAGCCTGGGCGACAGAGCGAGACTCTGTCTCAAAAAAAAAAAAAAAATACAAAAATTAGCTGGGCGCAGTGGCAGGTGCCTGTAATCCCAGCTACTTGGGAGGCTGAGGCAGGAGAATTGTTTGAACCCGGGGGGGCAGAGGTTGCAGTGAGCCGAGATCATGCCACTGCACTCCAGCCGGGGTGACAGAACGAGACTCTGTCTCAAAAAAAAAAGAAAAGGAGATGCCAAACCACAACTGGGCTGTGTTTCAGTGGTGCTTCCCTAAATAAGGAAAGATGAACAGAAAGTGTTGCCTTCTTACCTGGCACCTAATGAGAGGGTAGTTGTTGCTCTGCTTTCTACCCCAGCTTCCCTTTAATACCGACAGTAAATCCCTTGGCCATGTTTATTTTCTTCATTCTGTAAAAATGCCTATTTTAGGAAGGTTACGCTTGTTTGCATAAGTAGCACTTGCTATAGTAGCACTTGCTATGTGCTAAGCATGTTGCTAAGCACTTGGCATGTATCATCTGATTACGTTCTTATGAGATAGATAATATTTTATCTCTGTTTTGAATCCAAAATATTCTTCAAAAATTTGTTACTGCTGTAACTAAAACAACTGACCTACCAAAGCACCTTGGACTAATTTTCTTTTTTCAAATCCCTCCTCAGCGTACCAGTAATGTTCGATCCACATTTTTCAAGGACTGTTTATATGAAGTATTTGATGACTTGGAGTCAAAGATGGAAGACTCTGGAAAACAGTTACTTCAGTCAGTTCTCCACCTGATGGAAAATGGAGCCCTCGTACTAACTACAAATTTTGATAATCTCCTGGAACTGTATGCAGCAGATCAGGGGAAACAGCTTGAATCCCTTGACCTTACTGATGAGAAAAAGGTAAAAAGTAAAGCATTGGTCCTTTCTTCAGGCTAGTGGATTGTATCTTCATCAGAAAAGCTGTTTTCTGCTTGGCATATTGGTATTCATGTAGAGCTAGAAAGGAAAATTATTTTCCCTGGTTGGATTTTTTGTTTTTCTTTCTTTTCTTTTTAAAGATCAAATCAATATACAGTAAAATGCATACAACTTAAAAAGTGTTCAGTTCTATGACTTTCGACAATTCCACCCAGTTTTAAAACAAGATTAGTGGAAGTCATTTGAACTGTAAGATCTCTTTAGCACTCGACAATATTGAGTGGTGTAATATTGATAATGCTGGTTCTGTTTTCGTATACTTTTTTTTATGGCATCTATTGGAAACGTATGAAAACTACTTTATACTGATTGGAAGAACAACTTCCAGGCCAAGTGATGGCTGAATTGAGGTTAATGTTTAGTGAAAACCGCAGCAGACTTTGTTTTAGCATAGTCTGTACTGTACCTACCGTAATTATTGAACTACAGATGTTGATCTGTGTCAGCTAATGAGATGAGTTCTTAAAGTCTCATTTGTCCTACTCTGTGATTTTTGTAATTTTTTTCTACACTTTGTTTTCCTCAGGAATCTGCCTTTATGTCCGATTTAGAGCCCAACTAAGTAGAGCTGAATAGAAGAGTGATTTGCCCGCTGGCATTCAGTACTACACTATTGCCCCTGCCAGAGTGGTAGCTGTAATACCGCTCTTGTGGTTTTGCTGACCTTGATGGCAGGACTTAAAGGGAACTGAATTTAGAGAAAAGTTGCCCCATGAAGACTAGTTCTCTCTGGCCCAAGTGTCTTCCGCTTACTCCCTCATATTCCACATGGTCAGCTCCTTCTTCATTTGTAACTCTCAACCTAGGGATCCCCTCCTGAGAGACCTTCTCTGACCATCCTATTTAAATTGGATACTTAGTTTTTGATCCAGTCTCTTGTCCATTTCCTTTGTAGCACTTACTATAACTTGCAGCTTTTTGGTTTTTTGTTTTGTTTTGTTTCGTTTTGTTTTTTGAGATAGTTTCGCTCTTGTTGTCCCAGGTTCAAGCGATTCTCCTGCCTCACCCTCCCGAGTAGCTGGGATTACAGGCATGTGCCATCACTCCCGGCTAATTTTATATTTTTGGTAGAAACGGGGTTTCTCCATGTTGGTCAGGCTGGTCTCAAACTCCCGACCTCAGGTGATCTGCTGATCTCAGCCTCCCAAAGTACTGGGATTACAGGCATGTGCCTGGCCTTTTTTTTTTTTTTTT